GGACGAGCTGCTGGGGCTCAAGGCTCCCCAACTTAACCCGCGCCAGGGTGGTGGCCTTATCGTAACACGTTGAGTCGAGAGGTGGGCTTTTCACGCTCCTTCTAACTCGGCTACTGGGCTACGAGGCGAGAAGCGGAACGACGTTTGAAAGAGCGACAAACGTGATCAGAGAAATCTGGTCATGTTTTAGGCAAGCTCAATAATAAAATCACCATAGATAATCAAAAGCCAAATTTCTCTGATTTTAGCGTTCTCCGACAACTTTTCTCACAGTTCATGAACATAACGGAGCTTAAACACTGCAAACAAAATATTCGATTACTCGTTTAAGGCTCGGTCGCGAATAATATTTCAGGTGCGAGCTCAAATCAATAAGAGGGTCAAAACGGTCAAATTTGACATTTTGTTTCGTGTGGGAAGGTTGCAACGTCCACGGAATAAATTTTGCAAAGTGCATGATGACATTTTTAGCACGATCATCCAGCAAATTGACCTGATGACCTGACCTAGCACTAGGTGACATGCGTCCGAAATTTTAAGGCGTGTTGCAAAATTGTTGTTACAATTGCGAAATCTTCCGCACCTGCGTGCAGCAGTTTTCCCTAAAAACGTACAAACGGCAGACATCCATTATTCTATGCCACAGAATAGGGGTTAGTTGATAACCGTTAGCAAATATTTGAACATCATTGTCTTTCTGACTTTCGGTCGCCGGCCGGGGTAACTTTTTCAAACATTCTCCACCCGTGAGTGCGCTGCTTATCAAATACCGACGATGATGCTGTTTTCTGGTGCCAAGCCAGCTAGAACCTCTTTTTCACACTATCCGACCAGAATTTTGCTGCTGAGGTCATTTCAGGTCAAGTTAGGTCAAGGTCAATTATATGTGCTTGTATGTCTGTGTGTGTCTGTGTGTATACTGATGTGTGCACCGATTGTTTTTGGGTCCATATCACATGAAATCATGATCTGAGAAGCTTTTACCAAAAATGCAGTCAAAAAACTTCACAAAAAGTAAATTCAGCTTGCCTAAAACGCAATTATCTTAGATGACCTAGGTTGACCTTGACCCTGACCTTGACCCCTGTACATCGTCGAACAACATGTTCCATGATAGGTGGGAGGTAAGACTGGCAAAAAAGGCTGAAATCAGGGTGTCAAAAGCTCACAAGGCCCATGGCAAACGCAAGATGTTGAGAATTGGCCATTTGGGTCATGACATGACCTGAAAAACAAGGTCATATCCGAAACAAAAAATCACAGAAACTTGAAATTTTCAGTGAACATCAAGAAAGGATAGACGAGCAGCTATACGAAAAATCAGCCTTCTAGCTCTAAAAATGTTGAGTGCAGAGCAGAAAGACTGCCTGGGGGGGGGGGTGGCAACCACCCCCCCCCCCCCCATGTGCGGGCGAGGGTTAACCCGCGCCCGGCTGGGGGTCCTGGATTTCCACGCCCTGCTGGGGGGTGTCTGAACACCCCCCCTTCTAACTCGGCTCCTGGGCCACGTAGCGATACGCGGAAGGCGGCGTTCGAATTTCGAAAGAGCGTAAAAAAATAATGACGAAATCACTTCGGTCAATTTTTTGGTCTGGTCAAAGGTCAGGTCACCAGAGGTCATTGAAGGCAAAATTTCGCCGATTTCCAGGTCGAATGTCGACAATTTCCAAGATGCCAACGCATAACTCAGGAACCAATAGAGCTACAGCGCCGCGGAAAAGCGCATTCGATAGCCCTATTAACGCCCTTTCTGAGTAATCCTCTCAGATTTGACCTAACGTCAACGGTTTTGCCTGCAGGGGGCAAAAACTGCAAAAATAGCCGAATTTTTCGGAAAGTTTTCTGCAATAACTTTTGACCCAAGCCTTGCACGAGCTTACTTTTACAGGCATCGTGTTCCTCTCGTCAAGACGCATCGAATGAACTATAACTTGACCTTGAAAGGTCAACTTGAAAATTTGACCTCAGGTCAAGGTCATGGCCTGACCTGAAAGGGTCATGTTGCATATCAGTCGATTCGTATCGTCAAGCTGAACACATCTAATGCGTTTTCATTGCTCTAGCATGTCTCTATGAAAAGTTATTTGCGAAAAACTGCTAGATACCATTCGGTGACCTAGAAGATGACCTCAGGGCATAAACAGGGGTCACGGACACAATTTTTATGTTCAGTGTGTCTAAGCCACTTGTAATTCAGTGTTTGGGAGTGTTTATAATGTCTTTCATCCAAAGCAGGCGCATTTCAATTTTCTCCCATTGACTTATAATGGGGAGGTCGCAAAATTGACCTGACCTTAGGTCATCTATATCAAAATTCTGAGATATACATTTTGTACGTGCTATAGCTCTTAGCAATCGCTGAAAGTTTCAAAGCGATCGGTCACTCGGTGTAGCTATGACAGACATTGAAACTTTTTATGAGGTGAGGTCACTTCAAGTGACTTGGTGACCTGACCTTGAATGACCTTGGTCTGAAATTTTCACAACATGTGTAGAATTGATGTATGATAGGGTGTACCAAACACGGCGGCGCTCCGCGCCGCCGTTTTTGAGATATTCGCGAAAAACCACAAGGGGGGGTGTTTACCCCCCAGCAGAGCGCGGGTTAACCTTCCAGGCGGTGGGGAGGGCATTTTTTGCCCCCCCCCCCCTTAGTTTTTTCGATATATCTTGAGAACTGCTGCGCCGATCGTCACTAAACTTTCAGTACCCTCCCGGGAATAGCTAGCGCACATGGTGACCAAAAATTTTTCCAAAGGCTATGATAGGTTGGCCGCTAATGACGTCAGAGTGACGTCGTTTTTGCCATTTTCGACCCCAAAAAAGGTTTCGGGGGAAGAGCTGTCAGGCCTACAGCTTTACAGATACAGAAAAATGTTTCAGACATAAAAGGTGCGGAATCAACAGGGCTACAAAATTGCTGTTTCGTTTTTTCGATTTTTTTTTATTTTGACTCCCAAAAATCAAAAAATAGATTTTTTGAAAAAAAAATAGCCGAAAAATCCAAAAAGTTTTTTGAATTTAAAAAAAAACGGAACATATGTGATAGTCCCTACCGCCTTCTATCTACATACCGAATTTGAGATCAATACCTTTTTTGGCCAAGTTATAGCGAAAAACTGTTCAAAATTTATGACGTCAAATTTTCAAACTAAATTTTTAGCAATTTTAGACCTCGTAGCGCAAAACAAAGACCACCATTAGACTCCCGTAACGAGCTGCATCGAATCGATACCCATTTTATGCAAAAATATCAACTTTGAAATTTGACCTTTTTTGACCTGACCTTGACCTGAGCTCCACCAAAAAGTGACCTAAACCGTACCTGATGGTCTTATAACCAATACCATTGAGCTGGAAATGAAAAACTGGCCATAAAACATGCAACGCACAGCCTTAGTAAAGTTGGGTTCATATGTGGTGACCCTTGGTGACCTTTGGTGACCTGACATGTGACCTGACCTGGTATGACCAGTGACCTCTAATAGCAACATATGTACTAGACAACTGACGCCTTATCGCTGATTTTCGACAAAATGCGTTTTACTCGGTGTTATAGCGCTTTCCCTAGAAGCCCCGTTAACGGTGAAACATTTTATCTTTGACCTGACCTGTGACGTCATCGGTGACCCCGAGGTCAATGAAATTTGGTGTCACTTTACAAATTTGACAGGGCTATCGAACGCCGTTTGAATTTTCCGGATCCGTCCAGTAGTTTCGGAGATACGAGGGGGTGGGAAACGCCCCCCCCCCCACCCCCACCGCGCGGAAGGTGGCTGGGAGGCCCACCGCCTGCCGGGTTAAATCTAAATCCGCATGCCTACCTACGCCTTACTGAATGCATTGAGAGACAATAGCGGCGGAACATTGGGGGGGGGGGGGCACTGGCGACTTTTGGTCCCATTCTTTCCATGCAACGACCATAGGGCTAATGTTAAAATGTCAAAATTAAAGGGGGGCACGGTGCCCCGGTGTCCCCCCTTTCCGACGCCTATGTTGAGAGAGACACGTAATGTGGCAATTCAATCGATATTTAGTGAATCTCATGTTGCAGGCTAATGCATATAAACTTAACCCTCGCCGGCACAGGCCATTTTGAGTCCTTCGACGGCACAAGGGGGGGGTTGGTACGACCCCCCTCGCGTTTGGCCCCTGATCGAGCTAGAGCTTCGCGGAAAAAACGAGCGTGTTGCCCGTCACGAGAGGAAGCCGATGATACCCAATTTTAAGGTCCTAGGTCATCGGGTGACCTTCCAGGTCAGGTCAATGACCCGAAAACCGGGAAAATCGGGACCTGTTAGAAAGTCGTAAAGTGTGGCTGCTATGTGGTTTTCCGGGGTGCTGATCACGAATATCGTGTTAGTTTTGATCAGAGATGAAGTCTTTATGCATTTAGACCAGGTCGGGTCAGGTCAGGTCAGGTCAACCGGTAGGGGTTGTGACGGGTATTCGTAATACGTGTCAACCGCCTCTGACAGCTTCGTAACATGTTACGAAGGCACCAAAACTACTTCGTAAATGTTCAAATGGTTGCTAAATTCGAATTCAGCTCCAAAAACTAGCCTAGAAATAAGTAAAACTCGAAAAAGTGAACCGAGGTCACCCGAGGTCACCAAAGGTCAATGACCTGACCTGACCTTCAGGTGACCTTGACACCCACCCTAATGCATGGGAGCAACATCAAATCACATGTTTGAACGTTTGAAACCACGAAAAGCTTGCAAACGCGCGGCTAATGCGAGCCGACATGCGCCGAACCGCGATTTCGGCCAAACATGGTCACAGAAAAGAGGTCACAGGTCAAAGGCCATTAGGGTCAGGGTCATGAAATTTTCAGGGTAGGTGTAAAATTGATCATTGCGAGGGTACTGAAAGTTTCGGCGCGTTCGGCCGCTTTTTACGCGAGTTATTCGCGAAAAACCTTAGGGGGGGGTTGCATCACCCCCCCCCCCCCCCCCCCTGTGCCGGCGAGGGTTAAAGTTTGGCACAGGGTTCAGACAACTTTTTAAAATCATATATTTCTCATTGGCAACTCGTCATCCAAAAATCAAAAATGTATGACAGTCCTGGCACCGCGCTGGTCAGTGCTTTGTTGACCTTCAATTACCGTATACCTCAGGTTCAACGCTATCGTCTGGCAAACGTCCACTATCAGCTCACCCTTCGAACACCGCCTCCACTTCCAGTCACTGCCTGCCACCATTACCGTCGCTTTGTTCTCGCTCGTACGCACAGGGCTCTCAGCAGGGTACTGCAGAAGCTGTCCTGCAGGTATTTTCCCATATGCACCGGGTCGGGACACTCCGGCCAGCCGTCCGGCGGCGCCCGAGCGCACACGTGAAACATGTGACGGGTTACTTCTGGTAGAAGAGAGGACCAGATCACCAGCTCCGGCACCTGACGGGGGGGGGGGGGCATCTTGGTCACTCAGGTCACTCAGAGTCAGTGGTGAGGAAATACGGTGATAGCGAAGCTATGACACAGTCTGCTACATCGATTTTACCCCGTTTCTTTTCATAAATACCTGCTCGTAACTATTGTGTGTTATATCGTTTCAGATTTTTGCATATAAATGCACAATATTATGCGGACACCCCGTACCTACCCAAGCATTCAACGTTTATGAAAGCTAGAAACTTACCTGCAAGCTCATCTCGTACACCAGAGCCTGCTGAATCACGACGAGCGCCATGTACTCCGTCTTGGTCAGCTCGGGTTCATGTTTGTCACGCACAAACTCGAAGAGCATCGCTTCTTCCAGTTTCCACACGGTGAGGGTGCGCCGCGCCAGCTGAATTAGGGGCGGCACCAGGCGCTGCAGTCCCCGGCGGAACATGGTAAACTGCTCGCACTGATGGAACTGGAACATGTATGGCACCCTCCCCGAGTACCAGATGCCGTTATTGAGTAACACCATATCCGGACACTTGCGCCGCTCTGTGGCACACTCAACAGCTAAAGTTTGCAATGTCTCCACTAGATGTCGGTCTGCGAATGGTCTCCAATGGTACTGAAATTCAACAAACTCGTTGGTGGCATTACTTGAGCACAGGCCCTTTGAGCAGAAGGTCTGAGGCTCTAATCCGGGTGAAAATAGTGTAAAATTGACCGCATTAACCTCTCCGGTAATGTTCTCAGGTCGCTGCCAGACGGGCTGCATCGGATCTGTGACGTTCAGCATGTTGGCGTAAATCAGTAGGCGGAACTATGGTCATGAGTACCCAAATATAGGAACGTTCCCATTTTTGGGAACGGAGTTCCCAAATATGGGAACGGGCGTTCCCATTTATGAGAACGGAAGGCAATTTTTCGGCCGTTCTCCCACTAAAACTCAAAAGTGCATCACGTCTCAAAAAAGTGCACGCTGATTTTTAAGTATCTACTAAATCTCCATAAAGTTATCTTTAATCTGACCGTGGAACAAGGAAATTGACCGTGGAATGATATTTTTAATGATTTTTTGAAAATGACAGAATGGTGGAAATATGGGTTATACGACATTTAACATGCAATTTTAAGGAAAATGAAGCATTTTTAGTTTGAGGTAAAGTATAATAATTTTCGCCTGGTTATGAACTTTCATACTATCGACACCAGATGCTGACAAATGCAAGCGAAGACGCGGACGGTCCCGAGGTAATATTGTTGACTTTTGTGTCGGGGCGGACGACCGCGTGGAACGTGAGTGAATTTACCGAGCTACTGTTGTAAACTCAGTTTAAGCGGTTGAAAATTATCCAGCTGTATTTTATCATCCCGGAAAGACATATTTTATTTGGATGCTAGCTGTTTAGAGTTGTTTTATAAGGAGCGTCATGAGCGTGGTTTTTGTCTTCCGTGTTTCTAAGCGTGATCGTTTTGGGGGAATTTCTCTTATATAGCTCGCTCTGTGTGGCTTATTTATAATTTTTATGCTGATTTCGATAATTCCTCGTGCCCATCCTACCAGGCCTTTTGCCACTTACACTCATCAAGAAAGGAAAAAACTAGATTTTCATTGGGACTAGGTGTTTTGAGGGTGTAACATATTCAGCGTTCCCATTTTTGGATACTTCCTTGTACTCGTCAACTATCGGTGATAAACAGACAGGTGCTTGACATGTCTCCACACTCAGCGCGGACGGTGGATATAGGTATGGAAGACCTTGTTGAACATCGCTGAGCGTTGTGAATTATGTAATCCTGCAGAGGGGGGCGTGCCCTCTGCGAGATCGACGGGAATAAAAGCGCAGAAGACCGGGCGAAACATGCGACGGTCTTGCCGGAAAGGTCATCTGATGATTGTTGCGTTAACAATAATTTGCGGCGTTGGACGTGATGCTTGTTAATGAAAAGAGCCCCTGAAAGGCGTCGGTGAAATCGTTCCCAATTTTGGGTACGCCGTTCCCATAATAAGGAACGCTTGCAGCGCCAGTGTACGAGAGCGTTCCCAAATTTGGGCTCGCGGCCCGGATGATGGACTGCTTTAGAAATAGGGGAACGATTTGAAACTACGATGGGCCTTACAATATCAAACTCTTTCCCAACAATATTGAGACAAATATCAGGCGGTTCACGATCGTTTTATATTTTTTGGACGTCATTTAACGGTTCTTTTTCTTGTTTTAAATAATGCCTACATGGCGTTCCCATATTTGGGTTTATCGTTCCCAAACATGGGAACGAAAATGCGTTCCCGAAAATGGGTACGCTTGACCATAGTTCCGCCTACTGAAATGGCGCGGCCTCTGGAGTCTCCAACAATGGCGAGACGACGTGCGCGTCCCGTCACCGTCCTGGTTTGACGCAGACAGTCCTGCGTCTGCTGGGGGCCGCTGTTGTGGGATCGGTCCTCCTCCGACGGTAGATTTTCCCATGGGAACATGGCCTCGCTGAGCAGAAAGCTGTTGCTGATGAAGGCTGCCGATAGAGTGACGTACCTCCGACCTAAACAAGTCAAAAGGTCTGTTATAACATTCGGCATCGCTTGTTCTGATCGTCATCAAATGCCGAAACTACAAGTGATTCGCGCTATGTCTGATATTGGCCAACTCGTCAATTGGAACATAAATTCTAGACCAGCCATTTATACAACAATAGGTAAAACGGTGAAATTGTAATGTTCGCTTCTCAATGTAGTTAGGTATGTTTGAGTAGGTATTCAGTATTTATATCAGTACATGCTGCAGGTTTACCGTTGGGTACGAAGACAAGCAGCACCGCCGCGAGGATAGAAGATACGGCGATCGATCTCTGCCAATAACATCTGCCGAGCCGGGTACCTCCGCTAGGCGACATTCTATACGAAGACGACAAATTGCGTCAACTGATCTGGGCTGGTCACTTGGGATTAAATAAAATTGTCATCAATTAATTATCAATATTATATGGCCCATCTGCAACAGTCCGAATCGTCTACAATTAATTTGTCTCATAAAAATTGTTTACCAAGTACAGCTTGCTTGATAGCCGTCGTGTGTCGTATCAAAATAAACCATCCTATTCGGTAATGTGTCAACTTGCAAGACCGTCAGGAAATTCTTAGTCATGTGATATGCCTAATAAATTGAGTAAATATAGATGACGCATCATTTGTCATCTTGTAAAGCATTTATTAAGTATGTAGGCCTTACACTTATATTACAATACAATTATGATGTAATACATTTTCAATTATTATAAGCCAATTAACTTAACCCGCGCACCGACGGGGGTCTGCGCCAACTTCGTACCGACGGGGGGGGGCGGATGACCGCCCCCCCCCTGAGATCTCGAGAACGAAGCAAGATAGCGACAAGCGGTAAACGGCAAGGGATACGCACGGACAAGATCTACAATTTTTACAAAGGTCATTTTCAGGTCAGGTCAAAGATGACGTCACAGGGGTCAAAAAAGTCAAAATGGCGGCGCTAGGTATAGGGAGAGTTTTTCTCGAATAACTTTCGAACTAGTCAATATAGGAACAAACTAAAGGCATCATCGTGATCCTCTCGTCAATCCGCATCGAATGATATATATGTTGACCTCGAAAGGTCAAGGTCAAAGGTTGACCTCAGGTCACGTGACCTCGAGGTCATCATGTATATTATTCGATGCGCCTTAACGAGCTGAACACAATGAGACCATCCGCGCGGCTGTATCTTGTTCCTGTACGGAGTTATTGTCAAAAAACCGCTGGTGACCTTTGATGACGTCACATGACCTTACAGCTGCCCAACAGCAAAACAGACCTTAAAGGGACACTCCCACCTTAACATTAGTTTTGAGTTGAGATAGCCAAATTGGTGGCCATGGCCTGCAAATACCGGTTTGGGCACTCACAACATCGACAAATGCTTTAATTCGGAGATATGGAATTTCAAACTTGCAGTTTTCGGATTCTAAGGGGCTAGTGCATTGGTATGCCCCCTTAGAATTTGTGACGTCAGCGGAGATCTAACGATTTTTAAATCTTTTACTAAAACGTTTGGTAGCACGCGGTGGTATATGCTGCTTTGCGCGCAACAAATGCCGCACTTTCAAATAAAGTCGCTAGGAACAGCGGAGATCCCAAAAAGTAAACAAAAGTAAAAATCTAATATCTTGAAAACCGGTGAATATTTTTCGATGAAATTTGGTAGATATTCGTTTTCGCTCTTTCTGAACCGAGCGACATCACTTTCGTGCCAATTCATAAACTTTTTTGAAGGTGGGAGGGTCCCTTTAAGGTAGTGAAGGTTGGTCGTATATGAGGCCATGTATGGTTTATGGGGCCATTCCGACCCGTTTTAGTGGTAAAAACAGGGAGTTGATTTTTCCCCCATTGACTTATACCTAATGGGTAGGTCGAGAAATTGACCTGACCTTAGGTCATCGATATCAAAATTCCGAGATATACAAATTGTAGCTACTAATGACCTTATAACATCCTGCGACTTTTAAAGGCCTCCGACATCTACTGTAGCTCTGGCACGGTGACAAAGTTGCAAAAAAGTAACTTGAGGTTGGGTCATTCAAAGTGACCTGGTGAACTGACCTTAAAAGTTAGGAAGTTCAAACTTGCACACCATGTGTAATATTGATGAGAGAATAGTCGTACTAAATTTCGCGGCGCTACGCGCCGCGGTTTTCCCGCTATTCGCGAAAAACCTCAGGGGGCGGATATCCGCCCCCCGTCGGTGCGCGTGGCATTATATACGGCAATTGGTAATATTTAAAACTTGGGATATTCGCAAAACCGTAAAGAATTTATAGAGCTCCGATTATGTACCAAAGTACAAAACATTTTTGAAAAACAGAATGCATATGACCGCGTGATGCATTACTGATACGACTCGCTGATAGAGCGAACAACAGTCACTATTGCTGACAATGGACGAGGTGGGTACTCACATGCTGTGGAGGCGCATCGTCCAAATTCACCCTCCTATTCGTCCCATGCCCACTCAGTGCAAACTGGCGTTCGATTCGCCACGGCCGGCGCACAGTAATCTATTGTCGTCAGGACTGGCAAAAAGGCGCCCTCCGGTCACCATCAAACAAAAAACCGATAAGAAGCGTCCCAACTCCAAGGGCTCGCAGGCCGTGGGGATGAGATGAGCGTACAGATGGGCTTCGGATACGTGCTGATCGTGAATGAAATATTAGAAGAAGACAGATGAGATAATTCATTGGGATTGCCGTCCATGCCCGTCCACGGGGATCCATGTCCGTCTATTTATTACGCCTGTTGGTCTGAGCTCCGTGCTGCCCTGATAATGTTGAACAGTACGGTAATACTTGCTGATAAATAAATTAAATGAACCTGCAATGGCTCTACGCTGCATGGTCTACAAAGTTCAACCAATACAATTTGCACCGTCCTTCATTTCAACATGTTCGCAGATATTCAACAGCACGGCACGGGTACTAAATCTGTTTGTGATGCAATGCGCCTGCAAACAACAGTTAACGTGACAGCTCCCCAGCCTATGCACATGTCACTGAACTAGAGATGTCAATCGGATACCAACTTTTTGGTATACCGATACCAAACCGATACCAACTTGGTATTTGGTATTTCAATCCTAATGTACTTGGTATTTTGTTGGTATTATGAGACCTCACTAATGTATACCTAAGAGGCTGAGAAATTGGTAAAAAGTCGGTATTTCCCTCATGTTATGAAATTGGTTCGGTATCGGTACTTCCTCATGGGTTATGTTGGTATTTGGTTTGGTTCGGTATTCAGATTTTCTGTAATTGACATCACTACACTGAACCGACCGTTCATCCCACCGCCGGCCGTTACGGGGGACTGCAGCGAAGAAGGCAATGAGCAGCTCTCCGCACGACTCGGAGCTTTCCGCAGTCTCAGTGCTGCTGGGGCGGGGGGCCGGCGCGGCGGTCAGTCCGGTCAGTCGCCAGAAGACAGCGGTGGGGCGTGGTGTACCGTCAGTCACGCCAGTCTGTCCTCCAGTGTTGGTGACCGTCACATTATCAGAAGATGACGGCGCCATCAGTGGGCAGGGTCAAACTGCGCTGGCTCAAATTTACGCTGTGGATGCTAGTAGCAGCAATCATCCTGTCTCTGACAGCCTTCTATCGTGCAGGTTGGTTGCTGTTGTGTGGCTAACCCAAATACAAGAGACGAATGCTGATTAACCCGCGCCCTGGCGGTAGAGGGGGAGGGGCTATTTTCACCCCCCCCCCTCCAGTCTTTTCGCATTATCTCTAAAACGAAATGAGCTGATCGTCGCGAAACTTTCAGATCCCTCTCGTATGTACTTACATCAATTTTACACCTTGTGACCATTTTTTTTTCTAGAGTCTATGATAGGTTGTTCCCAAATGACGTCAGAGTGACGTCATGCTCAACCATTTTCAAGTCTCGTGGAAAGAGCTATCATGCCTGCAGTCTTAAAGACAAAATGAATGTTCAATACCAAAAAGATGTAAAATAAACAGGGCTACAAAACTGCTGTCTGGGATTTTTAGATTGTTTTCGTTTGACCCCCAAATTAAAAAAAAAATGAAACCCCAAAATACTGAGAATTTTCAAAATTTCAAAAAGCCGGAATGTATGTTACGCACCTATTGGCCTGCTTTTGACGGCCCAAATTTGAACTCAATGACTCATAGACAACCGTTCATGCAAAAAATCAACTTTGAACTTTGACCTTTCTTGACCTGACCTTGACCTCACCTTTACCAGAACGTTACCTATACCGTAACTGATGGCCGTCGAACCGACACCATCCAACACCATTGAATTGGAAATGACATAGATAACATGAATCATGTATTCTATGGATATTGATTCATGAACATGATTCATGTTACCTATGGAAATGAAAATTGGCCATAAAGCATATGTATCACACGGCCCTACTATAGCTGGGTTCATGTTTTGACCCTTGGTGACCTGACCTCTGTGATCTGACCTGGTATCAGTTACCTTTTTTAGCAACACATGTACTAGGCAACCGACGCTGTATCGATGAATTTCGCTGAAATGCGTTTTACTCCATGTAACGCATTAGTAACGCATTTCCTAGAAGGCCCATAGATGGTGAAAAAATGTCATATTTGACCAGACCTCTGACGTCATCGGTGGCTCCGAGGTCAATGAAATTATTTTCAATAAACAGTTTTTACCGGGCTTCCGAGCGCTGTCCGATTTTTGCGAATCCTTCCAGATGTGAGGGAGCAAAAATAGCCCCCCCCCCCCACCAGGTCGCGTTATAATCAGATCCCAACAGGGCGCGGGTTAGCCCTCGCATGTGGGCGGCGTTTGCCAGCTTCTAATGTGTAGGGGGGGGGGGTCGGTTAGACCCCCCCCCCCCCTTGCCGTTTGGCTCCTGATCGAGCTAGAGCTTCGCAGAAAAACGAGCGTGTTGCCTGTGACGAGAGGAAGCCGATGATACCC